CAGATAATTTAAATATGGTTAAAAAACTTGTACTTTCCCATTCTAATCTTAGGTTTTATATGGACTTGGACAATTATTCAAATAGTGATTAATAGGTTAAAACTTAGAATGATCCTAAAATCAAAAATAAAAATCATTCAATGGAACATCAGAAGTATCAATTCAAATGGGGATACTCTGACAGATTTCGTCTCTAAAGAAGATCCAGATATATTAGTTATTAATGAAACTTGGCTTAAAGAAGATTTCAATTTTACTCTAAAATTTTATCACATTATTAGACAAGATAGGAATGATGGCTATGGTGGAGTAGCTACCTGTATTAAAAATCATATTTCATTTCAGACTATTAAAAAATATAATTCAGACAAAATCCAATATATTATAACAAAGATTGATGACATATTCCTTATAAATATCTATTCCAGTTCAAATCACGAAATATCAGTGCCTTTTTTAAATTCCATGTTAAAAAACCTAGACATAAAAAAATTAATCATTATGGGCGATATGAATTCTCATCATCCAATTTGGGATAAATGTTTAATTAATAAAGGTGGTAAACAAATAGTTGACTTTATATTTGATAACGAGTTGACCATTATAAATGATGGCTCAGCAACCTTGTTTCAGCTTCCCAACAATAATATAAGTGCTGTTGATTTAACAATCGTGAGTAGTAATCTGGCTTTATGTACCAAATGGGGGATTATTAAAGACTGCGGCAATAGTAACCATTTTCCCACATACATAAAAATCAATGACATTGAACTATCAGATACAACTTTCGTAAAAAATTATAAAATGAGAAGTTTTTCAAGAGCTGATTGGGATCTTTTTTATGATGAAATATTAAACAACCTAGTAAATTTGTCAATAAATAAAATAAATTACAAACAATTCATGTCAGTTATCAATAAAGCAGCAGATGTTTCGATTCCTTATAAAAATTGTAGGATACAGGGTAAACCATTCAATCCTTGGTGGGATGAGGAATGTACATTATGGGTTAAGAAACGTAAGGAAGCTTTGCACATATTTGACTCATCACCATCACTAGAAAATTATTTGTATGTTAAACATATAATTGCACAAACTAAGCGTAACCTTAGATTAAAAAAGAAAAATAAATTTAAACAATTTTGTGAAACATTAAATAAAGGATCCAATATTACATATGTATGGAATAAAGTAAAAAAATTTTCAAATCATAATAATTGTAAAAATTTTTATAATCCTTCAGATAACATCAAAAGAGAATTATTATATAATATGTCATCAGTTTCCATTAATCCTGAATTCCGGTTACTTCACACTAACCAAGAATTTGAACTTATCTCAGTTTCAGAAATTGACACTGCATTGTTTAATAAAAGAAATTCTGCCCCAGGAATTGATGATATTTCTTACTCAATGATAAAACATTTTCCTCTAAAAGCCAAAAAGATCCTCCTAAATATATACAATGAATGTCTTAAAGGAGAACCCTTACCTAGCGATTGGAAAAAATTTATTATTCTTAACATCCTAAAACCCTTAAAGGACCCACTTCTTCCGAATAGTTTTAGACCAATTGTTTTATCATCTTGCATACTAAAAACATTAGAAATCATTATAAAAAATAGATTAGATTGGTTTTTAGAACATAATCTAGTTTTCAAAAATACTCAGGCAGGTTTCAGAAGAGGTAGAGGAACTGCCAACAATTTAGCCCTCCTTCATACCTTTATTTCAGAAGCCTTTGAATCATCCCATTCAGTCCTTGCCGTCTTCATTGATATTAAATCAGCATATGATAATGTGAATATATAGAAACTTTACAATAAATTACAAAATTTAAATGTCCTTTGTCCTATAATTAATATTATTTTTAAAATTTTGCAAAACAGGCTTTTATATACTAGATCCAATAACGGTGACTTTTTGGGCCCGTCTGTAGCAACTAAAGGTTTACCTTTTATGTTTAGGGTTCATCTTTAAGCACAATTTTATTTAATATATACATATTGGATCTATTTTCCATTCTTCCTAAAGATATAAATATTATTGGGTATGCTGACGATTTGGTTTTATATGTTAAGGGACCAGTTATCCAACAAATGGTTAATAAAGTTAATATGGCATTGTACAATGTACAAGAATGGTTGTTAGAACATGACCTATCTCTTTCTATAGACAAATGTGAAGCTGTATGGTTTTCGAAGGGACAACGCAAAAATTTTACCCCAGAAATCAAACTTAGTAACACAATTATACCATTAAAAGATCAAGTTAAATTTTTAGGCATAATTTTTCAAAATCATCTCAAGTGGGACAAACATGTTGATAATATTTTAGTTAAAACAAAGAAAAATATTAATATTTTACGTGCAATTTGCAGAGTATGGTGGGGCGCAGACCCTAGGACTCTTTTAATAGTATTTAATGCTTTAATAAGATCTCACTTAGACTATGGTTCATTCTTATTTATCCCTTCTTAACTTACGGAATAAACTTATAATGAAACCTAATTTTTATAATGAAAATAACTTTCCTTACTTAGTTTCAACACTAGAATACTTTTTGCCATATTTTAACAAAATATATAAAGGTAATAATTTTCCATGTTATGAGATGGATTTTGATACATTAGTCAGTCCAGTAAGAACACTAAATTGTGAAATAACAAAGAATGAATATATGATTAGAGAAAAATTTGCAATATTTACTGAAAAATATATTAATGATTTTACTTTCATTTATACGGATGCCTCAAAAAATTGTAACAAAGTAGGTTTTGGCATTTATATTCCTAGTATCAATTACAAATTTTCATCTAGACTACCTGATGAACTGTGCATATGCAAAGCAGAAAACATGGCTATATATCAAGCAGTTAATTTGTCCATTACTAGACAGATCAATAAAGTTATTATCTTCTCCGATTCTCTTAGTGCAATTTCTAAAATTAATAATAGCAATATTTCTGCTTCGGTAGATTATTGGTGCCTTAAAACAAAAAATCTTATTTCATCTGCAAATAGAAATGGGTTTGAAATACTTATCTCATGGATACCGGGTCATTCCGATATACCGGGCAACCTACAAGCTGACACACTGGCCAAAATAGGAAGAGATCTTAATGTTCCTTTGAATATGAAACTAGATTCTCAAGACGTGTTACCCATAATTAAGAATAAAATTAAAAACAAATTCAAAAACACCTTCTTCTTCTTAGAGTGCCGTCTCCCTACGGAGGTTGGCAATTATAATGACTATTTTTATTTTAGAACTTGCTGCTCTAAACAAATTAATCGATCTGCATTGGTACCAATCACGTAGATTCTTTAACCATGAGTTCTGCCTTCGGCCAACAGATCTTCTTCCTTGAATCTTTCCCTGTATTATCAGTCAGAATCATTTCATATTTTGGTCCCCTCATTACGTGGCCTAGGTATTCCAGTTTTCTGGTTTGTATAGTGGTGATTAGTTCTGTTTCTTTACCAACCCTCTCCAGTACTTCTTTATTTGTAATTCTATCAGTCCATGATATTTTCAATACTCTGCGGTATAACCAGAGTTCGAAGGCCTCGATTCTTTTTAAATTACATTTTTTTAATGTCCAAGTCTCAGCTCCATATAATAATATATAATCAAAAACACCTGGAAAACTTTAATTAGCAAAAAATCGTATCAGTATTATAGAGTACAAAATACTTTCCCTGATAAGACATGGTTTCAAAACTTTTCATATAAAGATAGGAGACACATTACAACTATTATAAGAATGCGAACCGGCCATTGTTTAACAAGTCAACATCTTTTCAAACTAAATTTGGTGGACAACCCTTACTGTGAATGTGGCCTAATAGAGAACCTAAATCATATATTTTTTGAATGCCCCATAAGGATCATTCCAAGTTTTGACCTATACACAAAATTCATTTATATGAATTAGAATTCACCAATTTCTATATATTCTATATTAAATAAACTTACTGAAGAATCAGTCAGCATTTTGATAAAATTCCTTTCAATTAATAAATTAAATTTGTAATCGACAATGCTCAATACTTTTTGAAGTGTTTACTAATTATAACCTATTAACTATTAATGAATTTTTTTCTACAAAATTATTTGGCACAAGTAAGTGGCCTCCAGTTGGTTTAGAGCCAGACTTTATCGGGGTCACCACCAAATTGAGCTGGCGTATCACCATGACGTGGAAGCCATAGAAACAAAAGAAGAAGAAGAACGACTCACGCTCTTGTCATTAGCGAGATGCATTCCTCGCGCGGTACTATAGGGATCGTAGGAATACAGGGAGGACAAATTCAAAGTGGTTTTCGTTAAGACTGCCATAAGAGATATATCTCTCGATAAAAGAGACATTTAGATATTTTTTGTTACAAATTATATGGAGAAGTGACACAAATTTATTGAAAAATAATAGAAAATCATTTAAAATGAGAGTTTCTAACGTTATTTTAGTTATTTTTTTGCGTAATTAATTATGAGTGATGACAAAAGACAGAAACCGAAAGCTGGAGGTCTTCGAACGAAGAAAAATATTTGGACCTGTTAACGCAAACGGAGTATGGAGATCCAGGTACAACCATCAACTCTACCAACTGTTCAAAGAGGCACCGATTTCTGAAATCGTTAAACTTCAGAGACTTCGATGGGCTGGTCGTGTATTGAGAATGGAGACCGAAAGTTTGCCAAAATATTTGCTAGACGTAGATAAGATCGGCGCGGGACCGGAGAGAGACAAAATATTGTTACATTTTGTTTAAAAAAAATTATTTAAACAAAGTTGAACAACTTTTTGCCTGGACGACATCTTAAACCTTATTTTAGAGTATCTCATGAAAGTGAGTATTTCCATAAGAAAATCTCATGGAAATATTTTTCCGAATGAACCTGACGTTCTATCACTAGTTTTTACAACGTCTACTATAAAATATAATATAATATTTGTATGCATACGTATATAAAATAGATGAGGTAAACAAACTTACACAAGCTTTTCTATGTTTAAACTTCCAAATAGATTAAATGTTTCGTTTGAATAAATCAGTTTTTCCAAACTTTTCACATTCTCTAGAGATATTCTAATAACACTTATATTCGATAACATCACGTTTCTGAGACGAGGTCTGCTTGAAGTTACAGACTGAGTCTCTGGTGTCTCTTCCATTTGTAAAATAGTAAGTTAAAGAAATAATATATAAATAAAATAAATTGTCACATTGACAGTCATAAAAGTTATTAAAAATAGTATGCTGCTTATAATAACAAATTATATTGCTGCTTTTAGATAATGTTGCACTCGTAGCTGAAAAATAAATAATATTTTTATGCCGTTTGTCATTCGAAAATATTTGCCTTAATCTTTTGTACACAAAAATTAAAAATTATTGTAAAGTAAGATTTTTTAGACATAAGTACCTAAAACTATGAACCCAAGAGACAAATTTATAAAAATACGCTACTCTGAAAATATACGCTTTAAATCCCTGTTCTCTATATCTGTATTCTCTATGGTTTGTTTTTTAACCAGAAGGAGTAATTCAAATTCTTTGTAATTGGTCCAACCGCAGGCAAGTTTAGGTACTCCACTAAATTATGACATTTTGACACTAATGAAATTTATGAAATTTTAAAATTCTCTAGATTGTATTTATACTAAATATAGTTTAAAATGTTTATAAACGTATGTTATTTATATCTAATTATCATAAGAAAAACGGCAACTATCTTTTAAACTTAGTTTATACTTGTTGGGAAGCATTTTTATTTTGTTTTCATCACAATAAAAGAACTTTAGTAAATTAATGTTGTGTATTAGTTACTCGCTTTATTGTCATAGCCTGTAGACTTTGCTTTTGTTTAACCAACGTGAGCATGCCATCTTCCCTGAACTTCTCTCTGCCAAACTTTGAGAACATATTCCATCTCCAATTACTTTAGATCTTCTTCTTCTTCTACGGCACTACAGCCCAAAATGAGCCTTGGCCTCCTTTATTTTTTGCCTCCACCCTTGTCTGTCTGTGGCTGCTCTTCTCCATACACGGACTCCTAAAAGTGCTTGTGCGTCGCTGCTTACTGTGTCTTCCCAGCGCTTTCTTGGCTTTCCAACTGGTCTATTTCCCTGCATTCTGGCGTTCAGTGCTCGTTTTGGTAGCCTATCCTCTCCCATTCGTATCACATGTCCGGCCCATTGCAATCTTTATATTCTAATGAAGTCTGACAGGGGTGTTTCCTTATACAGTTGATAGAGCTCGTTGTTATATCGAATTCTGAAGATTACGTTTTCCCTCACAGGTCCTAGTATTCTCCTCAGTACTTTTCTTTCGAATGTGTCGAGTTTGTTTTTGGATGTTTCTTTCAGGACCCATGCTTCGCTGCCATAACATGCTATTGGCCGAATTAAAGTTTTATAGATTCTCATCTTTGTATTTCGGTGGACACTTTTAGACCGAAATATATGGGAGAGGGCAAAATAAGCTTTGTTTGCCTGCGTTATCCTTTTTCGTATTTCTCCATCCTCTGCTCCATCGGCATGTATTTCTACTCCCAGGTATGTAAACTTTCCAACCGTTTCAATGTCATCTTCATGTATAATGTTTTGTGGGATTATATTTCTTCTCGTCTGTACCATTATTTTTGTTTTTTCTGTGTTAATTTCCAGACCTAGCCTTTTCGTTTGTGTTTTTAACTCTGCGTATGCTTCCTGTGCTCCTGTTGATGTTCTACTCATAATATTAATATCATCGGCGTAGGCAGCCAGTTGAACCGTTTTATTGGTCAGTAGGTTTTCTCGTCCAGTTTGCATTTGCCTAACCGCATACTCCAGTGCCAGGTTAAACAATGTTGGTGCCAGCCCATCTCCCTGCTTTAGTCCCTGCGAGATTTTGAAAAAGTCTGTCCGATTGTTTTGTATTCGTACACATGCCTGAGTTTCATCCATTGTGGCTTTAATGAGTCTAATTAGCTTACGTGGTATTGCTAATTCTGCCAATATATAGTATAGTGATTGAATCGTATGCCTGTTTGAAGTCTACAAACACGTTGTGAACATCAATGTCGTGTTCCCACGATTTGCTCAAGACCTGCTTGACTGTAAATTTTTGATCCATTGTCGATCTTCCCCGTCTGAAGCCCGTCTGATATTCTCCAATAATATTTTCTGCTAGTGGTTGGAGTCGCTGGTTTATAATATACGTGAGGACTTTATACGCTGTACATAGTAGAGAAATTCCACGGTAGTTTTTGCATTGGAGTTTGTCTCCTTTTTTATAGATTGGGCATACTATACTTTTCTTCCATTCGTCGGGTATTTTCTCTTCTTGCCATATTTCTTTGATAAGCGCGTGGATATGACTTGATAGATGGTTGCCACCTACCTTATACAGTTCTGCTGGAATCTCGTCAACTCCCGGGGCTTTATTGTTTTTCTGGGCCTTAATAGCTTCGAGAACTTCCTCTATGGTTGGAGCTTCTTCATCAACTTCGTTCTCTTCTACATGGTTCGTACCCATTTCATCTTCCATATCTACTTGTGTTCCAAGTAGGGTCTGAAAATAATGCTTCCAGGTTTCTGTGACTTTCTGTTGGTCACTGATTATTTGCCCACTTTCATCTTTGCATAGGCTTGTTTGAGGTTTATATCCACTTTTTATCTTTTTAAGGTATTCGTAAGGTATTCGTAAGTTATGTACATTTTGTGCGCTTCGTTTCTTTCTTCTATCGCTTGCCTGCACTCGTCATCAAACCATGTTCCTCTTCTCTTCTTTTTCTTGTTTCCCACGGTGGACGCTGCTGCTGTCAGCACTGCTGTTTTGATATTATTCCATTTGCTCTCTATGGAGTGCAATTCTTGTGTCCTTAGCTCATTTGTGACTTCTTGCTCGAACTTCTCTCTACATTCCTGAGTCTTCAGTTTTCCAGGTCTAGTTTGTTTGTTCTTTGTTGTCTTTCGTTTCTTTCTCTGTTAACTCTGCACCTAAATTTGGTTTGCATTAAAAGATGGTCTGATCCACAGCATGCTCCTCGTCGTGTTCTCACATCAGATATACTACTGGCTGCCCTTTTGTCTATCATCACATGGTCAATTTGATTGGTTGTGGTTCCATCTGGTGAGATCCACTTCATTTTGTGTATGTCTTTATGTGGGAAGCATGTGGAGCTTATAACCATGTTTTTACTGGTGGCAAAATTTATCAAAAACTCCCCATTCTCGCTTGTTTCATTGTGCAGTGAGTGTTTTCCTGTTGTGCCATAGAACTGCGGTTCCTTGCCTATTTTGGCATTCATATCACCCATTATAACCTTAATGTCATTTTTTGGCGCGTTGTCATATACTATCTCCAGCTGTTGGTAGAAGCTTTCCTTTGTGTGTTGCTCTTGTTCATCTGTTGGGCAGTAGATGTTTATCATAGTAAGGTTGAAGAAGTGGGTGCGAATTCTTAGTTTGCATATCCTTTCATTCACTGCCTGGAAGTCTATGATTTTTGACTTAAAATCATTATCTACCACAAATGCAACTCCACATTCTTTGATTCCTTGTTCTTTGCCACTATATAGAATTGTGTGCGTTTTGGTGTCCCTGACACCTTTCCCCAGCCATCTTGTCTCCTGAAGAGCAGTGATCATAAGATTATATCTTTTTAGTTCTTGTAGAAGTGCAGTTTGAGCTCCTGGTCTATTTAGCGTCCTCACATTCCAACTTCCAAATGCATAGTCCATGTTTCGTAGCTTTAGTCGTTTCCGAAAGTTCCCCTTGTTCCGAGGCAAATGTTTAGGTTTCATAACAGTGTGTTTTTCCGGGAGTGGGTTGTTAGCCCACTGCCCAACCTTCCTCCTTTACCCGGGCTTAGGACCGGCAATGGTGACTCCTGAGCTATTCAATCCACCCATTAGTCACCACAGGCGGAGTTAAAAAAAATTACTTTAGATAGTTTGTACAAATCCTGTTGATCTGTACTTAGATTATTTTCGTTTACAAGCAGGACAGCTTCTATGGGTTTAAATTTAACTACAGGCATTTTTTCGCAATTAGCAAGAAGGGATCCAATAGGCCCAGAATATGAATTACACACAAATAGGGCCCTTTTACGTAACCAATGCAACAAATTCCAACAAATGTCGTGAGGGAAGTTCATTTGCGTGCAGCAGACATACACTCCACTATGGTTTATTTGCTCGCGTTTCTATAAATCGAATGAGTCCACCTTTCCAGCCCGTATTGACATTTGTACCGTCATATCATATAACACTTAATTTGCTTAAATCTATATTATGGCTTTGTAAGTAGTCTAATAATCCTTCGGCAATATCTATCGCATGAGACTGGCTAAGAGCTAAGTGTCCAAAATATAAATTACCTGGTTTTTCAATTAAAGATATATGCTCTTCAGTTTTCACGATTCATCTTGCGTTTTCGAACACCATTCTTTCGTCGATTATTTTCGAATGATGTATATCTCTGTAGGTTATAACATAATCTATTACAGGTGTTAATAAATATATATTTGTGTTGGTCTTTGTGGTAAAAAAATGTGTTTATTTTTAGTTCGTTATTTGTGCAGATGTTGATCATCAATTCTCCATTTTCGTTTTTAACATTCTTGTTATGTTTTCATTTAATGCCGGCTATTACTTGATTGCCTATTCAAGCATTAAATTCTTCCAATATTATCATCTTTCCTTTTTGTTTGAGGCTTGTTATTTTTTGAGCCGTATACTCCGATGATGATCAGGTCTTCCTTGTACATTCTTATCTTTGCTGTTACTATTTTTTCTGATATGTATTGGCACTCTTTGATGTGATTTTGGCAGCTTTGGTGAATTAGTAAGGCTACTCCTTCTTTGGCCCTGTTTTCTTTTACTACACCACTGTAGATTAGTATGTAATCATCTAATTTTAATTAACCTTTTCTTTTCCTTTTTGTTTCCTGTAGAGCACAAATGTCTATTTCTTTCTCTTTCAGTACTTGGGTTATTTATTGGTCCCTTGAGTTAAGTATCTGATATCCCAAGTAGTTAATCTCATCCTGGTTTTTGGATGTTTTTCGCTTGTTCTTATTTCTTGCCGTAGTATTTTTCACAGTATCAATCCGGTTCAGAGACTGTACATTGTTTCTTTGAGCAGTATTTGTTTTTACGATTGGTAGGTTACTAACCTTGCCCATCACCTTCCCCATTTTATCCGGGCTTGAGACCGGCTGTGGTAACCACAAAGCTACTCAG